CTTGACTATAAACTACTCCATTGCATATACTATAGACTATTTGATAGTCTCGACCATAGACTTTTCTGTCTTCTATTTGATAGTCATAACTATAGATTATTCTTTAGTTTCCATAATAGATTATTCTATAGCCTTGACTATAGACTATTCTGTAGTCTTGACTATACACTATTTGATAGTCTTGACTATATATGTTCCATAGATTTGACTAGTATAGTCTATACTATAGTCTATTCAAGGTCGCGACTATAAACAATTCCATTGTATTCTATAATCTCCATAGTAGACTATTCTATAGCCTTGACTATAGACTATTCCATACTATAGTCCCGACTATAGACTAAACTATTCTATAGTCTCGACTATAAACTATTCCATTTTCTCGACTTTAGACTATTCTATAGTCTCCAATGTAGATTATTCTATAGCCTTGACTATAGGCTATTCTGTAGTCTTGACTATAGACTATTCTATAGTCCTGACTATAGATAATTCTGTGGTCTTGACTATAGACTATTCTATAGTCTCGACTATAGACTATTCTATAGTCTTGGCTATAGAGTATACAATTGACTTGACTATAGACTATTCAATAGTCTTGCCTATAGATTATTATATAGTCTCGACTATAGACTAATCTATAGTCTCCATAATAGCGTTGACTATAGACCATTCTATAGTCTAGACTATAGACTATTCCATTGACTATTCTATAGTCTCCACTATAAAGTATTCTATAGTTTCGACTCTAGACTATTCTATAGGCTCTGCTATTGACTATTTTAAAGTCCTATTATCGAGTCACTCGATTCGAGTGTTCTATTGTGTATACTGTAGACTATTCTATAATATCTACTGTAGTCTACAGCGTCGACGACAGACTATAGTCTTGACTATATAGTATTCTATAGCCTCTACTATTGAATGTTCTATAGTCTCGACTATAGACTATTCTATATTCTCGTCTGTAGACTATTCTGTAGTCTCTACTAAATTTTATTCTATAAACTCTACAATGGACTATTCAATATATTTCTTTAAACTACATAAAGTTATATTATTAAAACTACAAACAGTTTTATATTGACGACAACACACATAACTCTTATTAGATATACTTATATGCCCACCACTGCTTTAGAATAATTCTGATTCTGTAAAGAGTTTGACAGTTGTTTTGTTGCTGCATTTGTTGACTTAACAATTGTTAACATTCCCAGAATAAATGCTGTGTAAATTGTTCTTATTTTCTCATGTTGCTGTCTTGTGTTTAGTGATTCGCAAGACTTTATCTTAAAATACAGAATCATTGAAGATGCACCATTACATCCTCCCATTGTAACTACCAATGCGCAACAAATTTGTAACTATTATTATTTTTTGTTTTCACAATTTGTATTGATTTAAAATCAATTTAAACAGAAAATTGAATTTGAAGTTTGCAGATTTTAGTTAATTTTTTGTTAAATTAAAGTTTAAATATAAAAAATGAAGAAATAAGTGATACATTGTAATGTTTGAGAAAAAAAGTAAAGTTTTTGCGAACTGTTCCACTGTACTTTTAATAAAACTTACATACATATGTATTTACAAACTTGTACCTAAAATAACAATTCAATGTTTATTGTCAAACTGCTACCATGAAAGAAAAATTTGGCAATTGAAAAGGTCATTATCGTTGGCTGAAGCCAAAAAAAAGATGAAAAAGAAATTTACACAGGATTTAATACAGAGAAAAAACAAGAACAAAATAACAACACTAAGTTTAAAATTTCCATGTATTTATGAATGTCATACAAGGAAGTCATAACTTAAAAAAAATATACGTAGAAAAAGCCCACCTAAAAAGGAAAAGGATACAAAAAAAAAAACTTAAAGAACACGACAACGGAAAGTGGGCTCACAGACTCACATTCTCATATAGAAAATGCAGTAAAAATGTTATGTGGAATATAAATTGATATTTGTATAGAATTTATTTTTATTTCATCTTTTTGGTGTTTTTTAACATTAAATAAATAGAAATACATAGATAATAAAATTCAAAATGTTTTCTTCTTAAATACTTGCACTTGTTCACATTTTATTTGGGTCAAGAATTATTGAATGGGCTTTTAAGTACAAAATAATAATAAATAAGAAAAGAAAAAGAAAAAATACTGCAAATAAATAAACTGCTATAAAATCCCACTTGTAAAAACTACTTGAACAATTAAATTAAGGTTAAATGATAAATAAAAAAAATTTAAGAAAAATTAAACATAATAATGTACATAAACATAATAATGTACTTTTACCAGCAATTGATTGCAATTAAATATATAATGTTCGTTAATGCCTTTCTAAGAATTATGAAAAATATTTGTTTTTTTTCCTTAAGACTGTTTGAATGTCAAAAGGAAGCTTTTTAAAAGGTTAAAAGTGTTGAAAGCGTGATCTCATATGTTCTCAAAGAAGTTTGAGTTTTATATTCGGCTATATCGAATTATATATACCTTCTATAAAAATAGTTGCTATATTTGCAATAAGTACAATACTCGTTTTATAGTTTGTTTATAATCGAGGTGCTTTCTATAGTCGAGACTATGATCTGTCTATGGGCGCGACTATAATCTGTTTATAGTCGAGTCTATTGTTTGTCTTTAGTCGAGACTATGGTCTGTCTATATTCGAGACTATAGTCTGTCTATAATCGAGACTATAGTCTGTTTATAGTCGAGACTATAGTCTTTTTATAGTTGAGACTATATAGTCTGTTTATAGTCGAGACTATGCTCTGTCTAGTAGTAGTCGAGACTATAGTCTGTCTATAGTCGAGACGAAGTATAGTCTGTCTATAGTCAAAACTATAATCTGTTCATAGTCGAGATTATAGTCTATTTATAGATGAGACTATGGTCTGTCTCTAGTCGAGACTGTAGTCTGGCTATAGTCGAGACTATGGTCTGTCTTTAGTCAAGACTATAGTCTGTCTATAATCGAGACTATAGTTTGTCTATAGTAGAGATAGTAGTCCGTTTATGGTCGAGACTATAGTCTGTCTATTGTCGAGACTATAGTCTGCCTATCGTCGAGACTATAATCTGTCTATAGTCAAAAGTTTAATCTGTTCATAGTCCAGATTATAGTCTATTTGTAGATGAGACTATGGTCTGTCTATAGTCTGGACTGTAGTCTGTTTATAGTCCAGACTATGGTCTGTCTTTAGTCGAGACCGTAGTCTGTCTATACTCGGGACTAGTGCTGTTAAAGTATTGAGTAGTGGGTATCGAGTATCGAGTATTTGCCCTATTTTTTGGGTACTCAATACTAAAAAGTAGTTACTCAATACTTTCAGACTTGTATATGGATTTAACTTATTTAAATTTAACGGCTATGATGTGAAAAAATACAGCTCTAAAATCTAATATAGACCATATCATTATTAGAAATGCAACTCTTAGCAATATCAAATCAATGTAAAAATAATTTAAACACTGCAATAATAGTTAAAAAGTTACAAATATTTATCGACGCTATCTAAAAAAATAAAATGTCTCAAAAGAGGTGTGATGTCTGGTCTAACTTTACTTAAAAAAAGGAAAAATTCCTCGTTTTTAATTTAAAATAAAACCGTTAAAAGTATCGAGTAGTATTGAGTACCCAAACGAAAAGTATTGAGTAGTATTGAGTAATCAAAAGTAGTAGAATATTACAGCACTACTCGGGACTATAGTCTGTTTATAGTCGAGACTAAAGTCTATCTATAGTCGAGATTATAGTCTGTCTATAGTCGAGACTACAGTCTGTTTATAATCTGTTTATGGTCGAGATTTTAGTCTGTTTATAGTGGAGGCTATGGTCTGTCTATAGTCGAGACTATAGTCTATATATTGTCGAGACTATAGTCTGTTTATAATTGAGACTGTGGTCTGTCTATAGTCGCGACTATAGTCTGTTTATAGTAGAGACTATGGTCTGCCTTTAGTCGAGACTATAGTATGTCTATAGTCAAGACTAAAGTCTGTTTATAGTCTATTTATAGTTGAGACTATGATCTGTCTGAAGCCGCGACTATAGTATATTTATAGTCGAGACTATGCTCTGTCTTTAGTCGATATTATGGTCTGTCTTTAGTCGAGACTATGGTTTGTCTATAGTCGAGACTTTAGTCTGTTTGTAATCGAGATTATAGTCTGTTTATAGTTGAGACTATGTTCTGTCTATGTTCGCGACTATAGTCTGTCTTTAGTCAAAACTATATTTTGTCTATAGTCGAGATTATAGTCTGTCTATAGTCGAGACTACAGTCTGTTTATAGTCGACACTATGGTCTTTCTTTAGTCGAGACTATATTATATCTATAGTCAAGACTAAAGTCTGTTTATAGTCTATTTATAGTTGAGACTGTCTATAGTCTGTTTATAGTCGAGACTATAGTCTATAGTCAAGACTGTTTATAGTCGAGACTATGGTCTGTCTATAGTCGAGATTACAGTCTGACTATAGTTAAGACAGTTTATATTATAGACTATAGTCTGTCTATAGTCGAGATTATAATTTGTCAACAGTCAATACTATTCTCTGTATATAGTGGAGACTATAGTCTGACTATAACCAAGACTATAGTCTTTCTACAGTCTGTCTATAGTCGAGACTTTAATCTGTTTATAATCGATTCTATAGTCTCTCTATATATGAGTCTATTGTTTGTCTAAAGTCGAGACTGTAGACTACCTATGTTCGAGACTATAGTTTGTTTATAGTCGAGCCCTCAGTTAATCAATAGTCAAGACTAGAGTCTGTCTATAATCGAAACTATGGTCTGTCTACTGTCGAAACTATAGTATGTCTATAGCCGAGTCTATAGTCTGTTTAGAATATAGTCTATCTAAAGTCGAGACTATAGTCTGTCTAAAGTCGAGACTATAAAAAGTCGGTTTATAGTCAAGAAAATGAGACTATAGAGTTTGTTTATATTTTCATTAAAAAAATTACTTTTCTCTTATTTCTTCTTTCAGGAATGTACCCTAGAAAAAATGAAATCCATTGATACTTGGCTTTTTGAACTAAATAAAATTGCCTATTTCGATACGGGAGCCAATCGAAGTCCACAAATGAATTGTCAAAAAGTCGTGGCCAAAGATCGTAAGTATAGTTTAGTATAACCATTAATCAAATGTAATTTTTTTCGTTTAACCCTAAAAAGCAAACACCAACAAAATGGTAACGGCCAGATTTTGTCAACTAAGTGCAGGAGAATCGGATGCCTGTCAAATATTACGCTCAAAATTAAATCTTCCGCCGGCAGGTGATAATCGTTTGACTCAAAGTAATATGAACAATAATAATAATAACAATAATGGACGTCGTATGGTGCAACAACAAAATGATGCAGAACAATTTCACTGTTCCAATTGTTATACAGACAACTGTAATGGTGCTTTAATGATAGGTGCTAGTGGTTCCTGGCTTATGGCCGTAATACTAGTAGTTCCTGTACAATATATGATCTTTAGGCTGTGGTGAAAGTTTTGAAACTATAGAGTAGTTTTCGAAAATAAACGAGTGGTTAAATATGTTTATGATTTATATTTGTTATTTTTATAATTTCTTAAGTTTAATGTATATAAATGTTAAATAAAAAAATATATATTATGAAGTTAAGTGTGAGTACATATGTGTAAATAGGCCTTATTGTAGAGAATATTAAAATCGGAGTAGGAAAAAATTTTTAAGAGCAATGTGTTAGCTTGAAGTGAAATATTAAGCAATTTAGTTTTTTGGTTATAATGGATTAACAAATTAAATATTTATGCAAATTTTATTAGAATATTAAATTTTATAAAAAAAAAGTAATAAAAAGTTTAAAAAAATAATTTAAAATATTCGGCCGGGACGAATTTTTTCAAACTGTACCCAAGGACTTGTAAAAGTCACTGGTTTAATGAATTTGAAAATAATAACCTCTGAAAGGTATTATTAGTGAAAGTTAACTGTTATAACAGTTAAATTTTACCCAGAATTATTAAAAAAATAGAAATACAATGCTTTAAACTATTTAAGTTATTTATATTACTATATAATAATTATTTATATTTTAAATATATATTTAAGAATAATAACCACTAAAACTTAAAAACAAAATAAATTTGTACTTATTTTCAAAACAAACAAAAAAAAAAAAACAAAAACAACAATTTTATAAAACAACACTACAAACAATTCCAAGACAATGTTAAACAAAAATAAGTTTCAAAAAAGTATTTAAACAAAAAAAAACCAAATATAATATTCACCTAAATGCCTTTTTTATTAAAAAATACAATTAATATTAATTAAAATAAAAATATTAAAAAAACACCAAACACATTTCATTAGAAAAAAAAAACATTTTCATTAATTTTTCTTATAATTTAAAAAAACAAAAAATTTTTATTTTTCTTAATACAAAATTTAAGCTGAATAAAATAATCTTAGGAAAAACCGTTAAAAAAAACTAAATGTTAGTATTGAAAGAATCATGAAAAACACTCATACATTTAAAGCAATTGTTAGAACAATAAAATTGTTAGTAAAAAAACAAAAAATATTTAACAAAAAACTAAAAAAATTAAATAAAAAATATTTGCAATAATCAAAGAAAACAAAATCAACAAAAAGAACGTACATACTTGTAAATTAATGTTTAGCAACAACAACTAAAAAAAACAAATGACAATTAAATAAAAACATGTTTTTTCTTCAAAAAATAAATATTAAAAAATATGACTCACTGTACAGCATTTTATGGAAAATTTAACCCTAAAATGGTAAGCATGTTTATATATTATATTGAGAGAAATATGTAGCACTTCATTTACTCACGAATTGTCTTGTCCCCTCTTGCAGGAACTAAACTAGAACTGAACTAGAACTAAACTAGATCTGAACTAGAACTGAACTAGGACTGAACTAGAACTGAACTAGAACTGAACTAGAACTGAACTAGAACTGAACTAGAACTGAACTAGAACTGAACTAGAACTGAACTAGAACTGAACTAGAACTGAACTAGAACTGAACTAGAACTGAACTAGAACTGAACTAGAACTGAACTAGAACTGAACTAGAACTGAACTAGAACTGAACTAGAACTGAACTAGAACTGAACCAGAACTGAACTAGAACTGAACTAGAACTGAACTAGAACTGAACTAGAACTGAACTAGAACTGAACTAGAACTGAACTAGAACTGAACTAGAACTGATCTAGAACTGAACTAGAACTGAACTAGAACTGAACTAGAACTGAACTAGAACTGAACTAGAACTGAACTAGAACTGAACTAGAACTGAACTAGAAATGAACTAGAACAGAACTAGAACTGAACTAGAACTGAACTAGAACTGAACTAGAACTGAACTAGAACTGAACTAGAACTGAACTAGAACTGAACTAGAACTGAACTAGAACTGAACTAGAACTGAACTAGAACTGAACTAGAACTGAACTAGAACTGAACTAGAACTGAACTAGAACTGAACTAGAACTGAACTAGAACTGAACTAGAACTGAACTAGAACTGAACTAGAACTGAAAAAGAACTGAACTAGAACTGGACTAGAAATGAACTAGAACTGAACTAGAACTGAACTAGAACTGAACAAGAACTGAACTAGAACAGAACTAGAACTGAACTAGAACTGAACCAGAACTGAACTAGAACTGAACTAGAACTGAACTAGAACTGAACTAGAACTGAACTAGAACTGAACTAGAACTGAACTAGAACTGAACTAGAACTGAACTAGAACTGAACTAGAACTGAACTAGAACTGAACTAGAACTGAACTAGAACTGAACTAGAACTGAACTAGAACTGAACTAGAACTGAACTAGAACTGAACTAGAACTGAACTAGAACTGAACTAGAACTGAACTAGAACTGAACTAGAACTGAACTAGAACTGAACTAGAACTGAACTAGAACTGTAACTAGAACGAACTAGAACTGACTGAACTAGACTGAACTAGAAACTGAACTAGAACTGAACTAGAACTGAACTAGAACTGAACTAGAACTGAACTAGAACTGAACTAGAACTGAACTAGAACTGAACTAGAACTGACTAGAACTGAACTAGAACTGAACTAGAACTGAACTAGAACTGAACTAGAACTGAACTAGAACTGAACTAGAACTGAACTAGAACTGAACTAGAACTGAACTAGAACTGAAACTAAACTGAACTAGAACTGACTAGAACTGAACTAGAACTGAACTAGAACTGAACTAGAACTGAACTAGAACTGAACTAGAACTGAACTAGAACTGAACTAGAACTGAACTAGAACTGAACTAGAACTGAACTAGAACTGAACTAGAACTGAACTAGAACTGAACTAGAACTGAACTAGAACTGAACTAGAACGAACTAGAACTGAACTAGAAATGAAACTAGAAGAACTGAAACTAGAACTGAACGAGAACTGAACTAGAAACTGAACTAGAACTAACTAGAACTGAACTAGAACTGAAATAGATAAACTGAACTAGAAACTGAACAGAACTGAACTGGAATTGTATTAAACCAATATTTACTAAGATATATTTAAATGTTCTAGTAGTTTGAGTAAGTAGTAGAAAAAACTAATCACAGTTATATGTAAATGCTTGAATATTCCTTATTGATATCATTACCTTTATAGTCATTTTTTCATTTCTAATACACTAAAAAATGTAAATTGCTATTAACACTGATAAAATATTTTTTCCTATTACTCTTTTTGTTAATGGTAACTTTTAATTTTCAGTATTCTTAATAATTTTTTTTATAACAACTACTTTTCAATACCCGTATCTGTTTATTGACCGTTTACATGACAAAAAGCAGCCGATTTTATCAGTTAAAATTGGCAATTCCTTTTTTCGCATTTATGTTCTTTAAAAAGACAAATATCAAGTTCTTCAATATGTTTTTGGTAATAAGAAGAAAAAGAACAACATCTAAAGATTCTTTTATTGAAATTTGATTTGAAGTGGAAAAATTAATAAAAGTTCATTAACAATCAGTATAAATTTAGACGTTTGTCGGTTAAATGGTTGTACGGTTTCGAGAAATAAGGAAATTATAAAAAATCATATCTTAAATTTAAAGATTGGAAAATAATTAAAATGAGTTGGAAAAGTGTAATTTTTAGTTTATTATTGATACAAGTGGCCACAAAATCAATAGTAGAAGGTATTAAAAAGCGATTTGCGATTTAGTCAAACTAATTCTGTATTTCCGATTACTGGAAAAAATCAATACTGTATTTGATACATAAAAAGTTAATCATGTGTAAGAAAAAGATTTTTATAACAAATTCAATACTGGAAGAAAATATAAATACATATAAAAATTTACAATGACAACATAATGTTAACGATAACGATAGACAATAAAATGCTTGTAAATAGAAGCAATGAAAGATACAAAACAAAAGTATTTAGCAAATATTTACATTTCTCATACTCAAAGATACTTTTACAATATAGAATTCTTTACCCCAAACAGCCACAAGCTCAGATTCCTTCATACAAATATTACTATTATTAAAAGTCAACTTTTATGAACACAAAATAATAACAATAAAAGCATACACAAGTTAAATGTGTCATACAAATTGTAAATCCCATGGTCCAAGTAGCCATAGTGGCTGTTATGTTCTTTA